TACTAGAACGTTTGTTCAGAGAATTTTACGGATAAGAGGGTCGCTTAAAGTAACAAAGTACGTAACAGTGTGACAAAAAACTAATTAATTTGTAGCCTAAGAGAAACTTAATAACAAGAAAATAACGCTGTCCCAGTTCTTTCAGTTCTACTCTTTTAATACGAATATGCCAGCCGTCCGAGACATTTCCTTGTGCTTTTTAGACTGCTTTATTTAAGCCTATCAGCAGCAAATTAAAAATTAAGAACCTTTGAGTTATCGAATTCGTGATGGTCAATGACCTCTGAAACAGTTCTTCGGTATGATCCGAACGGCAACATCCCCGATCGGTTTTCGCCTGCGGCTTGCGAAAATAGTGGAATTAATGTTTCGGAACGCAGATCACCCTGAATTTTACACAAGTTTTGAACAGCACAGATTTTTACGCAAGAAGCCGAACAAGCTCAACGTAGAATTAGGTTACATATCCGTGTCTTAGTTTGCTTCTTTCACTGACCTGCACAAGTTCCTTGGAACCATGATCCACTTTGATATTTGCATCTCGTGCGTGACCAAATGCTCCCATGCCTACCTGTGTTTGCAGCGCTGGTAAATGTTCCCAAGGAATTTTGAACGGAATCAAAACATCTCTGAAACTTCATGACAGCTCATTTATGGCAGCTAAAAAATGAAGGGGTTCGAGGCCATAAAAAAAGAAAACGGCACCAGTTTTTCTTCATTCAGTAACTGATTACACGTTTCACAATGCATAAGTACACGGCATATGTAGAGATTTTTCTATTAAACTTTTTCTGAATGTGAGTGATTGGCGAAATAACAAGAACTTACAGGTGTTTTGGCTTCTTGGCATATCGTCTAGTAGGCGGAATTTTCTCTTCTTTCAAGATATCGCACAATTTCTTCTCATCTGGTGGCATTTCATAAGGTTCTGGTAGTGTTCGCGGTGGTGGCACCCATTTTGACTTCTCCGGTTTCTTCTGTAACTGCATTTATAATTAAGTTCGAGTTCCGATTTTTCACTTCCAGAACAAGTTGACGGCAGAGTAGGCAGCAAATTTCGACGAAGCACATCTCCGAAAAACCCAGTGCGAAAAAAGAAGCAAGCTATCTTTTTTTAAAACAACATACTTTCATCATACACATATCACTTCTGCCAATCGGTGCTTAGCGGACTAACAAAAAAATAAAAATTCGGACAAATTTATGCTGAATTTAAAAAACACCTTACACTTCTTTTTCTTCTTGCCTCTAAATGCCATCAATGCACAGACCAATAAATCGCCTCAAGAGCTGTTTTAAAACAAACTGGACCCAGCAGGCTTTGTTTTAGCAACAGAGTTAAAGCAATCTGGTTGCTAACTGTATTAATGGTTGTTACTTTATACTTATCTCGTACACTTATTAGCGTAATTCATAAATTTTGCATAAATGAAAATGAGCAATTTTCGTTTAGCGGTCGTTTTTTGTGCGTTTTTGCATATATGCAAATACAAAATGCATACTGGCAAGAGACTGTTTATGTGTATGCGTGTGTGTCTGTGTGTTTGCACTTTTTGTCGCCCATTTTCAACTCGAAAACCAGAAAAGCTAGAAAGCTGAAACTTCGAGAGTGTGTGCCCACCATCTGTGCGATCCTCCCATTTTAA